CTACTATATATAATAAGACTAAGACTCTAAGGAAACACAGGCGATTAAAATACTGATTTAAAATAACGTCGGTTCGCTCGTCGGTGACTATCTGCGATGTTGTGTGGGCCGCTGCCCTTTTTCTGTTTTTATATGGTTCTTCGGCCGTTAGGACCGTGCAAGTCTTGGGGTGGGGGTGCAGCCTGCGCTCATCCTTGTCTAAGGCCCCCTGCGGCTTGGTTCCCGCGGTCGTTGTCTAGGCGCGTCGCACAGCGTCTTACATACTAAATATTTAAAAATAATAATTTTACAAATAATAGAATTATTTTACAAACATAAATAGAGGCATCTGTCAAAATTTAAAAGTATAAATTGGGGGACTTTTTAAAATTGCTCTTTCTGGCGGGAGAAAGGTGAAACAAAGTTCCATTATCGATCTACTGTAAACTTCACAGTTATCTGAACAAATGAATCGTGTAATTATCTGCATCATCCACCAGTGGTTGTCGAATTTCGTAACGATACGACGCGATACCAACTTTGATCTTCTCGCGGTCATATTCCATGTTTTGTCTTTGTCCTTTTTGCTGGACGCATCCAGAGAATGTCCTTCTCTCAGAATCTCAGATAACGAGAAGACCATGTGCGTGGTTCGGGAGCCGCATCTGTCACGACGAGCTAAAGACGTTCAAAGTCCGCGGAGATATTTGAATCTCGAGTGCTTGTCGCCGGACTGCAGTCACGCCACGCTTTTCATTGTGTTTGTGTCAGTTGCTACACTCTGTATAGAGTGTCGCGTGGCGCGTTATATCCTTTTGAGACGGTACAGAATGTTACGAAGCAGAATTGAATGACGTTTAGGTGTTCTAATTTTTTATGGTGCTATTATATAAGTACGTGTAAATTTTGTATTATTACAGTACTATTACAGATGTAAAATACAATTTGGTTTTCTTTTTCTTATTAACAAATATAACGTTTCAGATGGAACAATACGGAATAATTTAGATGGAATGAAGGTTCACCGTTTTTGTTTGTTATTTTGAAATATTTTAAATATATTATTTTAAACTGAATGCTTTATTTAGTTCTTTAATACAAAGCGGTAATGTTTAAAATTATGTAACGGTGTTTGAACATTTTGTTCACAAATTCAATTCACGAATTGTTTTTATAGAGTTTTGTACATTTCTATGGGACACCCTGTACATAGTGAAACACAATAATGCAACCGCGAGACAGCGTAGTGTAAAAAGGACAAGAATGTGGAATGTGAGAATCATCGTCATTGCCGTCCTCTGTCTTCTTGATTTATAGATAAAACGGCAATTGTGGTAATGAATAAATACCGATGCGACTAATGTCTTTATATATAATTATACGTATAAAGGAGGATGTTAAAAAAGTGCCAAATTTGTACCCCTTCAGTTACTTAAAATTTTAACGAGGCATCATTCTACAAGTCCTAAGGCATCATAAACGCACAATTATTTATCTGAAATGTGATGGGATAATTATAAAAAATGTAGATGAAGTTGACGGTACTTGGAAATTCGAATTGAAACTTTCTGACTTCAAATGATCATAACTTCGAAATGAATGCACGAAATGGAAAAATTCAAACGCTATTCTATAGAGGAAAGTCAATATTTATATAGTTAACAATAAAACGCGACAAATTAAGATAAGGTGCTACCATGCAAGTATTCCATAAAATATGTTCGTTGTTCTACTGTAGCTTACTTCTAAAACAAGATGAAATGCATCGAATATGAAGAATTGTTATTATACTTCATCCTTCTCTTCTTCAGATGACATTTCTTCGGTAAAATATTGGTTGAGGAAGTTAGCAGGTGAATGTGTGGACGTCTGATGTCGAGCAAACCCCAAGTACCATAATACTGTTGCAACGTGTGAACAACACCCCACTACACGTTGGCCTATTTTTCACCCACAAATATGTCCGATGTCCAACAATAATATATAAACAAAGTATTTCACGGAATTGATATGACGTGAGTGCATTTGAGTTTTAACTAAAATACTATTTCCAGAATCCAGGTCGATGTGGTATTTGCGGTAATCTATTGTCAAAGATGCTGTTGCTACTTGGAATTCGAAGTTTATATATTATTGTTGGACATTGGACAAGTTATGATCATTTGAAGTCAGAAAGTTTCAATTCGAATTTCCAAGTACCGTCAACTTCATCTACATTTTTTATAACTATCCCATCACATTTCAGATAAATAATTATGCGTTTATGATGCCTTAGGACTTGTAGAATGATGCCTCGTTAAAATTTTAGGTAACTGAAGGCGTACAAATTTGGCACTTTTTTAACATCCTCCTTTCAACACTTCACATACTCAAGCAATAGTAAACAGTAGATAGCTACTCGGTAAATGTTTCGAAATTGTAGATGCTTATTTTTTTTATCGTAGAAATAGATAAAATACTCCTACGACTGTGCGTATATACTTCTAGTCTTTTCCCCCCTCTTTCTCTTTCTGTTCTCACGCCTTCGTTTTGCACGTTGAACCCTCTTCGTTATTTATTCAGCGTCGGAGGATAGGTCCGCCAAAACGTGGCGCCATTGCTTTGGCACTACCGACTGTTACGAAATCGCGTGATCGTGCGATCTGTCCGCACTATTTTTGCACGGTGCATGTTTTGGGCTGATAGTCTCTGTCTTTATTCACGCTTCGAGGTCATCTGATCGTTTACAAGGATATCGAGAGGCGAGCATGCGAGCTTGAAAAGAAAAAAAAAAAAACGGATGAATCAATCACTAATTGCTTTATGCATCGTTCGAACGTCGTTAAAGGCGAGTCTGGACGCGACGGTGATTGGTCTAGACCTAGTTTCGCTAGGAGACACTATTATTGGCGAATTGTTTACTGCACCGACTGTTGGTACCATTAATCCTCAACTGGTAGAACGGAAGATTCGTTATATAATCGATAGAGGGAGACCAGGTGTGTACAAAATTAGACAAAAAGTATGATAAATCTATTTTCGATGAAATTGATAATTGTTGTGTATTCAAGTGATGTACTGTGATGTACATGTACTTTATTGGATATGGTATTTTGGAGGTTAGGAGTGGGGCTGTTCTCGACCCCATTTTACGATCTTATCAGTTGAGGGTTAAACAGTTAATCGGACATCTGAATGATCTTTAACCCTATTATTTTGTTTGGATTTTTTTAGCTCTAAATAATTTTTCGTTTTCGTATGAAACTTTTTTTCTTATTATTTACTCCACATTTATGATTGCGTAAGGTAGTATCTATACAGCCTTGAATAGATATCAGAATTAATGTGTAAGACCTATATAAAACATGCTTTTTTTTATGACTAATTGGTTTGCACCATTTCTAAAACTAATACGGAATGTTAAAAATGTTGATGCCTTTCTTTAAAGGGTTTCGTGATATTTTAACAACACTGCAACTGTTCGCATTACGTAGTATCGTAGTGCACTGCATATTGATTCTCATTTGTATTCTATTGATACTGATACCGATTAGTAGACTGTTGTTACGAATACTTATGGCACTGACACTAATGCAAACAGTAATGCACGGTATTGATATTTTAATATTCTCACTGATATTATGCATCAGAATATGGGTACTATAATACAATGCAATCTTAGCCAACATCTGTATATGGTATTTCATAAATTAAAACTATCTAACTTAATATAAGAATAACTTTCCAAAATTGATGGACAAGTTTTTCTTCGTGCTAGAGTTACTATTACATCGAATCTCGTAAATATTGGTTCTATTTCCACGATTACTACTAACATCCTAAATATTACACGAATCAATATTGTGCGCTATTATTAACATCGCTTCTCCTATCTACAATGATAATAGTAACATTACATAAATCTAAGAAAGAATATCTTTTTTAAATTCTCGGTTGTAATGTTGACGAAGCCTTTTTCAGAAGGACACTGCTTATATCGGAAGCCTCTGCAAGAGTCTCCCGAAGATCCTAACTGTTTAAGAATTTTCTTAACCTTACCCTCTCTTTATAGGGAAATGGAAGGCTTCTGGATTAGCAGCGCGATCACCGCGATCAAGGCGATTTCCTATGTGTACGACCTGCTAACGTTTCCGGTGTACCTCGTGCTGCAGCGACCCTGGGAGAAGAGGAAGGCCTCGCGTAGGATCAAGGCTCGACCTGTCGCGAAGGATGAGAACAGGGTCACGTACAGGAGCGTTGATCCGCCGGGGCCGATGCACGTTATGCTCGAGCGTGAAAATATCGACACGCTCGAGAAGATGTTGTCCTGGGTCGCTAAGATGCATAGCGACAAGAAATGTCTTGGTACGAGAGAGATACTCGCCGAGGAGGACGAGGTTCAGGCTAATGGTAGAATATTTAAGAAGGTACAGTATCTGATAGTGATGGTGGGAATCCAGTTTGACAGTCCGAGAAATAAATGATAAATCTTTAACAATTTTTTTTTTGGCTGAACTAGGAAAGACATGGGGCGATTTCACGTCAAATTGATCACTTTCTGACGTCAACGTTAGGGATTTTGTTCCAAATGAAATATAATATACTACATGTGAAATTAGGAGGGGTTTAAGTCATCATTTAGCTGGTTTCGAATTTGTTTAAAAGATACGGACCTTTGAATTTAACAATTTTTGCAAAATTTTTACCGCGGAAACTATTGCTCGAATTGAGCTCATCTTTTGTTTTGTTTTAATCTAGAAGGATAGTCCTATTGTAATATTATTTTTGTTATTTGAAAAATTGATTTTATAATTCTGAAAATTATAAATAAACTCTTACTTTGTAAATTTCTCTGTGATGGGCTAGAGGTGTTCAAATTAAAAAAAAAAAAATGGTCATATTCCTTGAAATTCTACCCACAAAATGAGCCATTTTGCAGGATGGAGAGTATAAAAATTGAACCATATTAAAATTGACCATATCGAAGGTACTATGGGGTACTTGGGGTTGCTTACCTAAAACGTGGGTACACCAATTCTTTTCTAGTTCCTTCAAAATTTAAATCAAAATTAAAAAATTAAAATCAAATACCAAAAATAATATTACAATAGGGCCGTCTTAGATTAAAACAAAAAAAAAGATGAGCTTAATTCGAGCAATAGTTTTCGAGATAAAAATTGATAAGCACAGATCATAAATCAAATCCCGTTTTCATAAAAATGAAAAATTTAAACAAATTCGAAACCAGCTACATGATGACTTAAACCCCTCCTAATTTCACATGTAGTACATTATATTTTATTTGGAACAAAATCCCTATTGTCGACGTCAAAGAGTGATTGATTTGGCGTGGAATCACTATATGGTAATACTATTTTTTTTTAATGAAAAGGGGCATCCTTACATTACAATACAAAAATTTTATTCAATGTAATTTTTGATACTGTTATTGTAAATTTTATACTTTAAA